GGGAGCGCCGCTGACAGGGTCTCGTAACCACGGCTTGAGCACCGAAGGTCTTCTAATGCGTTCGAGTGACGAGGGGTGTTCCCTGCACGGCTTATGCACGGGAAGAGGGAAAGTTGAGGAACAAAACGCATTTCACCGAGACCTGCTCTGCTACATGCCGCCGTAGGAGTGCTGGTGCTGGCCTGGTACCCACCTGGCCTAGCAGACGGCAACGGGGAGCCGCCAGCCAGCCTCGTGCCCTCCGTACTGGACGCTGCAGACAGACACGCCATAGAGGTAAGGCTCTTGTCTGCTGTTGGAGGCCATTAAACTCGCTGTTACAACTCCAGCACAAAGCCGATGCTGTGCTTGGGAAGAGGCCCTGCTCCCTCTGTGTTTGTGACTGTGTTAAAAGAAAGGAGTACGTGCACTTAAGAAAATGGGGAACCATTTTTCAAAAGCTAAATACAGGGCTTTTCCTCTTCTTAATAATTGGTATTTTCAGTTTACTTTTTACTAGCACTAGGGAAAAAGCAGTGAAAGCCCTGACTTCACTGAAGTGGACTGCCGTGTTCTGCATGCGTCGTGAAGGGGTCCTCCCAGTCTGCCCACTGCAGGTGACAGAAGGTCCTTTACAACAGACCTAGAGTCTTCTGGGAGGTCAGGGTGCAGGGAAAGCAGTACCAGTGTGATGAAAATAACCATCTTCCTTGTCTCTTTTGAAGGTTGCCTTTCATATCCAGCCATACAAAGGGCACGATGACCACACTGTGCATGAAAGTATCAAATACATCACAGACAAGCAAGTTTTTCATGTAGGCTAAACCCAGCTGTGTCATGTTGCTTTAAGCAGAAACAGTGTGCAGAACTTTGAAATAAATGTGTCAGAACAGTATCAAAAAATCAGTGCACAGGGGAGGGAGCTGCCTAGAGCGAGCCAACAGGGCAGCACTGGGCAGAGGTCATAATCAAATCCTGCTTTCTCCAAGACTTCCAATACCTTGCCTTCAGAACCCACAACTGCTTTCTTCTGCTCGGGTTTCTAAGCTTATCACCCGTAGGCTGACACCTCAACCCTTTCTTTCAAAGAAAAGGAGCAGGCAAAGGGACTCCTATGAAGACAGACATAAAGGTTCTGGGAAGGGAGGCCCCTATGGCAAACCAAGTCTCAACACCATGCTTGCCCTGTAATGGCTATGCCTGCTGCAGGCTTATCACCACTGAAAAAGCTTTGTGCTCTCCTCTAGATACGGGTCACACGCAGCTTTTTGTAAGTACAAGACCAGCACCGGCAAGAGTCTGCCACTTTTCTATATCTACGATTCCTACTTGACACCGTCTGAATCCTGGGCCAGCCTTCTCATGCCATTAGGCTCCCACTCTCTCCGCAACACCGTGTACGACGCTGTGTTCATAGCGCTGCTGGTGGAGGAGGAACACAAGCACGATACACTCTCCGCAGGGTACGATGGCATGTATGCATACTTTGTGTCCAGTGGTTTCTCTTTTGGCTCATCCCACCAGAACTGGAAAGCAATCAAAGCTTTCTGTGACTCCAACAACCTGATGTTCATCCCCAGCGTTGGCCCAGGCTACATTGGCACCAGCATTTGTCCCTGGAACAACCACAACACTCAGAACAGAGTCAATGGGAAGTACTATGAAACAGCTCTGCAGGCTGCTGTCATGGTCAGGCCAGAGATCATCTCCATCACATCCTTCAATGAATGGCACGAAGGCACCCAGATCGAGAAAGGTGTACCCACGAAGACGCTGACACGCCTTTATCTGGATTACCTTCCTCATCAGCCAAGCATGTACCTGGAGCTGACTCGCAGGTGGGCAGAACATTTCAGCAAAGAGAAAGAGCAGTGGTTGATGTGACTTCAGGATTTGCCTTAATTGAAAAGACATCCCGCTGACAAAGCTGCAGCACAGAGAAGCACTTCAGAAAAAAGCACTCGAGGAGACACAGCCACAGAACCTTCAGCCTAATCATACCGCTGAATGCGAGCGGCCATCTGCAAATATCCCAAGGACTGCGTAAGCCCCAGCTCTGGACTCAGAGGAGGAAGTGTTACAGGGCGCAGGAAATATGCAAGCAGCAGTCAAATCTAATTTTTTGCAGATTTAGTACAGATGACCCTTTCAAAGCTCCTCTGGAATTCACAAGGGGTGCTGGCTAGGGGGCCAAAGACCTGTTTTTTCTTACTGTATGTTCTGTGATGTTTGACACCAGCATGCATTTCACCATACACCCTTGGCCCACAGCCAGCACCGATCGCGTATCCCTCACTCCGCTAGCAACTCTGTCAGATCATTTCTCTATCAGCTTACTGTAGAGAGGAGTAAATATTCCTCCAGATTGTCTACTGTAGGTGAAACGAAGCCATGCCGTTACATACCATCTACTTTATCCAACCTCTACTATAACAAGGAGTTCTGCAGTGGGCGTTGTCACTGTGGTCCACTGTATCCAAATAACTAAAGATAACTAGAGCTGGAACACTAGAGACTACTTACTACTACTGCTGTATGTGCTGGAAAGCAAGGAAATGCAGTGATCTATACTAAAAGCTCTAACTGATTGTTTAGTGTTCCACATTTTGAAAATTTAGATCTGAAGTTGCTTTATCCCCTTTAGAACCAAGGAGAAAAAAATATTTACAATAAAAATGCAACTGAAAACACCATTAATTTGTGCTTTGAAAGAAGTTCATCTCCCAATAGCTTTCCCTTTTTTGTGATTTTTAGCCATGCTTGGACCCTTCAAAGTTAGCCATAAAGTTGATTTATACTTGTCTATAACAATAAAATGAGAACTGGCAGCTCTGGATGTGAAACAAGGTTCTATTTATGATGACTCCATACACATTCTTGCTAAGCACCTAAGTGCTAGACAACAATGTAGACATAAAATAAGCATTTAACAAAATCATGCAAGTTGCATACCAGTTTTTAAATTAATAACAGCTCTATAAACTTTACTTTTCAATGAAGAATAAACACCAGAAGAAACTTTCATCCATTCCCTATATACTTCAGCTTAGCACTGTTTTCAGAACAAAATCAGGAGAGGGAAGTCCATATTTAGAAAATGAAGATAGGCACACTAAGAGCTTGTTTTCATTCTCTGTATTAGGAGGAAGTCAGATCTTTCTGAGCAACTCTTGTCTAGTCAGGGACCATTTGAATACTGTTAATTTTCAAAAGCACTTACAGTTTCATCTCAGTAGTAGGTTTTGATTACATTTAGAACAGAAAAAAACAGCCAGAGGACACCATAGCTATAATATCATGGAAGCTCAAAAAAAACATCTCTTTTCCATCATTGCTTTTCTTTCAGTGCAGAAACAATAAAAAAACACATGGAATAAGTGTTATGGGAAGGGTGGATCATACACTGTCTTCATCATCCCATCCTGAAAATAGTCTAATGTTCAAATTCTTGTATTTCAAAGGCCTAATCATGTTAATAAAACAGACAGGTATTTGGGAATGGAACAGCAGCAGCACAAAGAGGTCAGCATACATATCTGGGTTGGTTTCTCAGACTATAGCAGATGTGATACTAATTAACAGATACTCATCAACTGTTGCTTTTTTTTTTAGCTTTTTTTTTTTTAAGCTTTTGTTTATTAACCTTGACATAACCCATTGACCTTATTAAACAAGGCCATGAACACCGATTTCCTGAATGCGCAGGCACATGGTGCCCAGCTTTACCAGCTCTGCAGAGCCTCCTCAGAGTCTGAAGTCTTAAGATGATTCTGGTATCAAGCCATACTTCTGCCTCAGGATTTCAACTGTGGATGTCAGTGCACTGTGGGGTAAAACAGAACCATCAGAAAAAAACGTTTTTAAGGGTTAAACTGCATTTTCTGGGAAAGA